CCACGTGAAGCTGCACAGGATTTTCCATCGTCACATTGTCTTCTAGATAAGCTTAGCCAAGCATCCACAACTGCATCAAGGCTATCATCTGATTGCTCATTTACGGAAAAAGAGAGAACAACAAATTTAATCAATAACAGCTGTCAAGTTCCATCCGGTCCATTAGGAATTAAACTTCAAATAACCATTGATGATGAAACAGACGCTGAGGCTTTTCCGAAATGTCATTATCTGTGGAGCACCAACGTAGGATTTTCTCCAGTATCTGACAGTATCTTCTGTATAAATATCAGTAATGTTCAGTTACAGTAAACATTAAATCGTTTTTATTTACTGTTGTTTTGTTAATATGGTTTCTGTAACTGGTAAATAACTGGAGAGTTGGTTCCAGAAATTTAGGTCTTTACTGAGCAATTTGATTAGTGTACCTGTTAACTTTTTTTTTTTTTTTTGGTTCAGAGACGCGAAAATTGTTTACAGTTTTCACCTCTTAGTACCTTCAGTGGTACAAGTGTAACCTCGAGCGAAGATTCCGGCTTTTCAGAAGAAAACCAAGCAAACGAGAAGTCCGTTAAACTGTGAGTTTTTATTTGTAAAGGAAGCAAACGAAAAAATCAGCTGTAAACTACTCATTTGATATGCTTCGACAAATTCCTTATCGACGTTTGAACATGTTCCAGAAGTTCTTTCGTTTTGTTTTTCAGCCTACGTACGAAATCTTTGCCCTCCGCACTTCGTTCGTCAGCAAATTACGGCAAGCCAAAGAAAGTACGTTTTGCGGATGCATTTGGGCTCGACTTGGTACAGAAGGCTTATTATGACTGCGACGAGAGCCCAGAACCACTGTCAGCTTGCTTGTCGTTAATCTGTTTTCCCTAATTAATAATGCTTTCTTAGCGCATCGTAGTTTTAAAGATGCTAGGGAAAATATTTTTCAACGATATAAAAAAGACATCCAGTTTCAAATAGAAATTAACAATATTACTGATTTATTTGCTTTTCAATGACTTTGAAGTGCTTGTCAAAAATATTATCAGATTCACAATCGTATTATTAAGCGCACAAATTATTTGTAGATTTAATTATTTTAACTCACCGTTTGCTTCTACGAAAAGTCCGATGGTCAACCGAGTAAGATCGGTCACCCTAAACCCAATAAATGTGCCGCAGCGATCAGAGGCCGAAGTTAGTCATCTGACTCGTTCGCAGTGCATTTGCTTACGTTCGCTGTATATCACAGATACCACTCTTTCTGGTGTGATACATGTGTTGAATTTAGCCTACGATAAGCAGGTAAAACATACGTGTTCAATGTACTCAGTTGTTTGATTCTAACTGATCTCCTGTATAACATTTGGTAGGTGGCCTACTTTTCTTTGAATCTTACACGTTCAGGTATTCGTTCGTTACACCTTTGATGATTGGTGTTTGTTTTCGGAAACACGAGCTGTTTTCAATTACTCTGTGGGCAACGATGGGGCAGTAGATTCTTTCAATTTTTTCCTCTCTTTACCCAATGATTTGCCGGTAACGTGTTTTCAAACTAACACTTTTTTTAAACAAATATTTTTTTTCCATTCTTATCTACTCTTATTTTCTTGCTTTTAGTCACCTACACATTTTAGGTGGGCGCGGTATGCGAATTCTGTATTCGGTACAGTGTTAACGGCGCTTCATATTGGGATAATAATGTTGGGCAAAATTACCGACTTAAATGTTCAAAAATTGGTAGGTGTTCTTCAGTCTCTTGTCTGAGAGTAGTGTGAAGTTTGCTTCGCCCGCTCTTTTTGAGATAATACGTCGTGAATCATTCCCACTTAACAGCCTTGTAGCATATTTCATTCGTTTGGGTTTGATGATCTTCCCGCTAAAAGCAGAGCACTCTTGAAAGAAGGGCCAAAATGATACTTTCTATATTTCTTTGGCCCTATAATTATCAGGACAAAAAGAAACTTCGCTTATGAAGGTGGCATGTATGTGTATGGTGTTATAACGTAAAATCAATTACAAACTTGTCAACAGCAGCATTTAGACAGTAGGTCCACTTTGGTTAGGTCATGGTATTTTTTCACTTCTGTAGCAAAGCGGTCTTTGCTTTGCATTGAGTGTAGCACAGGTCTTCACTTGTTGCCTTTTTGGTGCATTTCTAAGTAGGACCTTTTAATGGGTTTACAAGGTTTAATGGTATTTTTTCGTTTTTAATACCTCAGTGGTCGCTGAAGTGTTAATATGGTGAAAGTAAGGAATACAGGTCTATATATTCTCCTGTGTAGACAAGATCGTCAGCAGTGTAATTCAAACGTGCCTTAGTAGTTGGTTAGGTCGTCCCAGCCTCGCTGATAAAGTTTTCTTTCTACTGACTGTTATTTCTTCACCCGTCTTCACCTTTAACTAGATCTATCGTTTTATTGGGAAGGTTGTTTTTCCTTAAGCTGTTTATTCTGGCTCAAGGCTGTACGTAGTGGTCACTTTATTATCAGTTGGGCGAGCAGAAGCTAGTTGACAGGTAAAGGTCTTCACTTTGATGTAGTCCTAATGGCCTGCAAAGTATATAATCTTTGTTGAGATTCATATTGATTGATCAGCAGTGTTATTTTTAAAGGGATTGGTAGACCTTTAAAGTTAAATCTAGGAATTTGAACCAAATTTTATTGGTGCTTCTGTAAAGTTTTGCTGTAAACACTACCTCATTTGTTAAATGGGTAGTTTCCAGAATAAATTTGTAACGCTGGGAAGAACAGTCGACGTCAGTTCAATTATTCGGCACCAGCGGTTATCTAAAGGGGCAGATCATTGTTAACGACGACGAGACAAATGTTGCGAAGTCGAAAATTTATCCACATATTCTTTTTGCTATTTCTGTTTCTTGCTGGGGAAGTGGGCAATAACGGAACAATTTACAAAGTGGCAAAAGTTATAAATGTGGAGGGTCAGTAATTTTGTTTACTAACATATATTGTACACATAGCAGATATGTTTTGTAATGTTTAATTGTATAGTGCTAACTCTGATCTCAACTAGATATCTGCTGCTTCATTTAACGGGTTTTACACGCATATACACTTGGTACTAAATACGGTGTGCTCTTTCATTTTTGTTGTATTCCACTGTATTACGCTACAATATTTCGCCAACCAAGTATGGACCTGCAATCATTCGCTTATGGACTCAGCATCAGTTTTCTTTTATTTGTATGCAGCTTTGCATATCTTATGCTGTCGCAAGTGCTGTTAGTATTTAAATGTGTTTAAATTTGTATATATTTGTTCTCTGGATGTTTTTGAAAAAGCTAGGGGATTATGTTAGCGTTGGAACCTGAAATAAAGCTTTTTCAGAAATGTTTGTGTTTTGCAAACTGCAACTTTGAGAAAAGCATTGGTCAGACTTGTGAGGATCGTTGGGATGTACACAGGGCTTTGGAAGGTCAGGGCATTTGAAATTGAATGTGCGTGGTTAGCTGGAAGAAGGGGCGGGTGAGGTTTGGAAGGGGCGTGAAGTTATTGCTTTCCTGTGAGTTTGATTGCAGCGTTTCTGATGGCAAACACCACAGTATTACCACTTGGGGTTTCATTTGAAAGGGTTTGTTTGAGTAGACAGGAACAGCTGATTGTTAATGTTTTGAAGCTTACTATTTAACTTAGTGGTAGTACTGTGGTGCTTCCGCAGTTGGTTCCACTTTAGTTGAGCGAAGACTTCACTAGAACAGTGAAGGTTTAGTTTGAGTGAGTGATTTTTTTTCCGAGTACTGTTTTAGCCAAGTGAAGTGCATCGTTCGTCGAAAGTTGAGAAACAATGGAGTAATCAGGGCAGGGGAAACAGTAATAGAGTGGCCTGTTTGTTAAGGTTTCATCGACATGAATGAGTCACTATTTGTGTGCACCTACCTGAACATTATCTGTCTTCATGAGCGATTGTATGGGACTGTGGTGATGCTGCGGGTTTTTTGTCTGGCAGTTATCTGTAGGGTGAAGTGGCATGGTGTTTCAGCAAAAAGAAAACTTAGTTTTACAGAAAGTGATGAGGAAAAAAGATTAATCTGTTTCTCAGCAAAGTCGAAATAGTACCAGAAGAGTGGCAGAAAGAAGTACTTTTGGAATTTTTTACTCATTTTAACTTATTAAGGGGCAGAACAAGAAATCACCTTGAAACTTGGCACTTAAAGCTACACTTTCCAGCTACTTTTCTGCTTTTAGATTTTGTTGTAAAACTACAAGCATTAATTGGAGTATATATGCTGTCACGTGTTTGTATTTGCTCTACCGCAGATGCTGTGTTTCAGGGTCGGTTTTGTACTAGAGCTTCTTTAAACTGTCACATCATCTTTTGGCTTGCTCCAACAATGCAAAATCATATACATAGTGCTGGAAGATAACGATCAATTTTGTTCACTTATGCTGCACATTATTTCTCATCGTGTGCAATATTTGGGTTTAGATGAATGAGTAAAAAAAGGAAAATATAAACAAAAAATGTTTATTAAGGCGTTCCAAGTTAATTTTTTGATGATTTTGTGCAGAAGATAAATAAATTCAACGTATACAGGTCTAAAAAGCTACCACTATATGAAAGTTTTTGCGTCAGCTAGGAACCATTAGAAAATGCTGAACTAGGACAAGCAAAGATTCAAATATTGATGAAATACGACGGCAAAGCTAAAACAAACCAAAATAAGGACAAATAAAAAAGCAAAAAAGCAAACAAAAAAAAAAAAAA